TTTTTTTGGGTCTGGTCGTGGGGCCTGAACTCTGGGCCTGGGCGCTGTCCCTCAGCTCTTCAGCTCAAGGCTAGCGCTCTACCACTTGAGCCACAGGACCACTTCCAGTTTTTTTTTTTTGCTTATGTGGTGCTGAGGAATCGAACCCAGGGCCTGAGGCATGCAAGGCAAGCGCTCTCTCTCTCTCTCTCTCTCACACACACACACAGTTGGCATGGAAATCAAAAGCTTTTGCTGTTTTCTTTTAAAACTGACACACACACACACACACACACACAGTTGGCATGGAAATCAAAAGCTTTTGCTGTTTTCTTTTAAAACTGACACACACACACACACACACACACACACACACAGTTGGCATGGAAATCAAAAGCTTTTGCTGTTTTCTTTTAAAACTGAAAGTGTTTTCAGGTTCTGGGGGTTAAACAATAAGTGCTCTATCATTAAAGCTATACCTTTTGATTTTGGCTTTTGAGATAAGGTGTCTACTTTGTTTGCCCAGGCTTGAACTGCCCATTCTTTTCTTTGCCTTCCTGAGTAGCTGGGATTATAGGCTTGTGCCATTGCACTCAGATTTTGATGTTTTTAATTTTGCACTGGCACTTGGGCTTGCACTCAGGGACTCAAATTCTTGCTCAGCTGGAACTTTTACTACTTGAACCATGCCTCCAGTCTGGTTTTTTGCTGGTCTACTGGGAATCACATATTGCTAGGATGACAGCAAGCACCCAGGGCTGGCCCCAACTGGTTATTATTAATCTTCACTTGCCATCCTGTTAAAGGATTCCTACTTTGTGTATTTTAGGCTATACAAAGGCTTTTAAAGATTTAGATTCTAGGTAGGTAACTTATCAGCCTTTCCTTTTATGGCTTCACTTACATGCCTAATATTTTTGTTGTTGTTAAATATAACGTATAGTTAGTATTTGATATAAATTTACTTGCTTTGCATTTTACTCAGTTCCACAAATGATGAGGATATAATGCTGGAGATTGAGCTCAGGCTAGTTTGAAATTAAAGGGAATTTGTCTAAATTGCCAAATAAAAATTATATACATATACACTGTGTGCATATATTACACATATACATATATAATCTGTTGCATATAAAGTTTTGAAATCTTCATACTCCAGAGTGGGTAAATGGAGCAGTTATCATGCACAACCACTGTTGTCTCCTTTCAGATACAAGTCCTGGTTGAACCTGACCACTTCAAGGTTGCTGTCAATGATGCTCACTTGTTGCAATACAATCATCGGATGAGAAATCTCAAGGAAATCAGCAAACTGAGCATTTCTGGTGACATTAACCTCACCAGTGCTTCATATGCAATGATATAATCCACAAAGGGCATATCTTTAAATCTAAATCCTATACAGTTAAAGGCCTCACATTCACTGTAAGTGAAAAACTCTTCACTTATTCATCAGTACCCTCTTGTAAGCCATCCATTTAATAAATATTCTATGCTACATTGCCTGTCTTTACGTCATTTAATTGGAGCGGTTTAATCTGAATAATTTACAATGGAAAAAGAACAATGCAATGACATACATTAGGGCTTCACAAAGCTTTCCATACTTGTCAAACTACGTGAAAAGACTGTTACCTCCAAATTTCCCTCCTTATAGAGTTTCTTCAAAGTTAGGTGATGCTACATGACTATGCTGATCTTCTTCCTTGAGGACATAAATTGAGGAAATGAGAAGAGCAGAGTTTCCCCACAGACAATTACTGCTTGCATTCTTGTCTATAGTCACATGTTGTTTAGCAACAGCCTGAAACATGTTAGGTGACTTGATGATGGGAACATCATGGATGGTATGGGCCAATTCCTGATAGTCTCTCGTTGCAGTAACTATGAAATGTGAAGCTGTTGCCAGCAACAACTCTGCATATTGTGTTAGAGTATCCTTAAAAAAAAGAGGGACATACTCTAATGGAAAGTAGTAAGGCCTGGTGTTAGTGGCTCACACCTCTAAAACTAGCTACTCAGGAGGCCAAGATCTGAGAATCACAGTTCAAAGCCAGCCTGTGCAAGAAAATCTGTAAGAATCTTATCTGCAACTAATCACCAAAAAACCAGAAGTGGAGCTGTGGCTCAAAGTGGTAGAGCACTAGTCATGAGCTGAAAAATTTCAGGACAGTGCCCAAGCCTTGAGTTCAAGCTCCACAAGACTGACAAAAAAAAAAAAAAGTAAGTACAAATACATATACTGTAAATATATATACAGCTATTATCAAGTATCCTGTAGCACACATTCCTCTGTGTACTATACTTTATACAACTGCAATGCAGGTTTGTTTATACCTGCATCATCACAAACATGTAATAAACACATCATGCCACAGAGAAACCTGTCATAGGTGATAGGAATTCTCCATCATAATTTTTTTTTTGTTGGCCATAGGACTTGAACTCCGGGCTTGGGTACTGTCCCTGAGCGCTTTGCTAAAGGCTAGGGCTCTACCACTTTGAGCCACACCACCACTTTGTTTTCTAGTGGCTAACTGCAGATAAGATTCTCACAGATTTTCTTACACAAGATGGTTTTGAACAGCCTCCTGAGTAGCTAGGATTACAGGTATGAGACACCAGTGCCCAGCTCCACTATAATCTTAGTGGCCTACCATCATATATGCAGTTCATGGTTGACTGAAATGTCCTTGTGCCATGTATATTTCTTTTTACATTTTTTTTCTGTGTTAGCTAGGCTCACTTGGACCCATCACTTACAAGACACCTGGGCAAAAGCATGACTTGAATACAATGGCTCTCATCTTATGAGATGGCAGGCTGAGGGCTATTTACTTAACACATCACATTAATGCTTTTCCCAATTTTCTGATCTTGACAGTCCACTTGACATTAAATAGAAGGGCATAACTTTGGAGGGAGAGGACCTTGGTTTATAGAAAGTTCTCTATAATTCTGTTTTTGTTTTTGTCAGTCATGGGGCTTGAACTCTGGGCTTGGGCTCTGTCCCTGTGCTCTTCAGCTCAAGGTGAGCTATCTACCACTTGAGCCACAACACCACTTCCAAGTTCTCTATAATTCTGAACCTTTCGCCTCTTGGTCTACATAAAACATCTCTACTATAACATAACATGGGCCAAACAGTAGGTTGTCAATAAAAATTTCCTTTCTTTATTCGACAGGCTTTTATTGTTCTACTCAAGCAGTTTTCTTTTCTCTAAAGGGTTTCCTAACATCTCACAATTCGAGAGCCCAAAAGCCCAAGCATGTTATGAGTTCAGGGGACATTTGTGTTTGTCTGTCCAGTCAGTGTCTGTTCCATTTCCTACCAGGCCTGGTTTTATTCAGGTATGATCCCACACTTAATAGAGAAGGAGCACAGGCCAGGACCTGCTGACTCATTGACATACAGATTAGGATATATTAGTTGTATTAACCATGCCTAAGGAAAGGACAACTCTGATTGCTCATTTATGTCCCTCAAAGCCTTAGAGATGCCAACACTAGGAGTATTAGAACCAACTAGATTATTGGACCTTGAGAGGTCCATTGTAAATTACTGATTGAAATTATTCAGTTAATGTATGAAACAAAATGTCATTATTGTTAGACCAGTATGAAACCATTTATATATATATATAACTTTCTCTTTGGTGCCAGTCCTGGGGCTTGAATTCAAGACTTGGGTGCTGTCTCTGAACTTTTCTGTTCAAGGGTAGTACTCTACCACTTGAGCCACACATCCACTTCTGACTTTTTGGAAGTTCATTGGAGATGAGTCTCACACACTTTCCTGCCATGGCTGGCTTTGAACTACAATCTTCATATCTCAGCCTCCTGAGTAGTTTAGGTGTCAGAGAAACAGACTCTTGTGATCCTTCCTTAAGATTCATGTGCTGTATGAGGTTATGTGTGCCAGAAGGGGGAAAGAAAACTCTTCCCTAAGTTCTAGCAACAGTTGGAGTGTCCAGCCACAAGCCTCAGGGGGAAAGAGAAAACTCTGAGTCTGAAAGTTTGGATGCTGTGGCCACGACCTCAGGGAAGGGGCTGGGATGCGCTTTCTCTTCATGCCTCCTCCTCCTGGCACCATAAACACATAAACAACCCCGAGATACTTCTATGGGTAAAACATTTGTGCCTTGTTTATCTTTTGTCACCTTTTGACCTTATCTATCTATCTATTGGCCCATATATCTCCTGTAAACTTTTGGCCTTGTAAAACTGTCACATGCCCACTAAGATTAACTTTCTTTGTGTGTATGCCGTATATAAGTAGGTAGTTTCCCCTATTAAACTTTGTCTATACCCCGCAAAGGTGTAGTCCACTCTCTGCCCAGGCATAGTGTTCTCAGGCCTCACTGTGTGAACAGCAACAATTAGGATTACAGGTGAGAGGCCATGGTGCCTGGCCACATACACACTTTCTAAAAGCTCAGGACCATGAATATCTGAACAGATGAGAGCATTCTCATTTAATAGTGAATCCTATTAATAGGTAGAGCACCTGCTCAACAAAGCAAACTTGAGGCAAGTTCAAATCCCAGTACCATGAGGAGGGGGGGGGTAGAATCAAACTGCCTGGAAAAATGCAATCCCCAAAGATGTTTAATGTTAAATTCAGGAGATCAAATGAAGGAACAAGTATAAAAAGATACAAAAATTTAAAGTTTAATATTTAAAATAACAAAGAATATTTATAAGTTTTAAGTAAGTAACTTGGCTTTACATCAATACATTTAGTTGTCTTGCATTTTCCTCAGCATTTTTGCTCATAGCAGGCACTCTACCATTTGAGGCACACTTCAAGTTGGACTTTTACCCAGTGAATTAGATAAGAATCTCTTGGATTTTTTCTGCCTGACTGGTTTCAAACCACTATCCACAGAACTCAGCATCCTAAGTAGGCATGAGCCAACTGTACCCGGCTAAATCTACACATTTCAAACAAATGAGTCAAATCAAAGTACACCTTTTTATTTTATATGGTTACAATAAAAAATATCCCTACTTCCCTTGAGAAATAGTATCCTATCTAAAACACACTTTGATGAACAAACACTGAATATTAGAACACTATGACATTATACAAGTGGACTGAATAAGATGAACTAATACATAGTCTAAGAATGTGTCACTGCATCAACATCATGAAGGAAAATATTGGGCTGATTTTCCTGGTTATTCTCCACTAAGTGGCCTCAGCGGAGAAAAGGCAATGAGGTTACCACCAAAAGAAATGTGTCTGGCATGTTCTTGACGTCTGTTCTCCATCTGAGTGCCCAGGTTACCACAGTTCAGGCCTGGCTAAAGAACAAACACAGAAATCATTAAGTTTCCCCAATGGGCTTGGAGGCGTGGCTCAAGTGGATAGCCAGCCATGAGCTAGGAAGCTCAGCAAGAACTCAAGGCCCTATGTTTAAGCCTTGTTACTGAAAATAACTTTTTTTTTTTTAAAGAAATTCCTTCACTTCAATCACCAACATTGGCAGTTAATTTCAGACTAATATAAATAACATAAACAGCTTTCCCTATAGAATAAAACTACTACTAAGAACGATGCTATATTTAAGCAGATATAATTTCAAATAATTTTTAATTGGAAAAGTATACAAGAAATTCATGTCTAAAAAGATGATTAATATATAAATGCACTTAACATATTCAAGATGAGTAAAACTCAGGCCTTAACCATTCTATGAAAATACCATAATTCCCAAACCATATAAGCAAGTGAACTTATATATCTAAATTCAAATGTTTATGGAAATAAAAAAAACAGATAATCTATAACTGTGAGACACTTTTGATCATACTTACATCAAGCCCAGAATGTTATTATTTAATAATTTTCAGATTTACTTATGTATTATTGGAACTAATAGTTCAGAGTTCAGATCTGAGAATAAGGTTCAATCAGGTTTATATGAATTGTCCCTGTGCTAAGTGCTCAATCTTCGAGGTCTCAGTTTATGATTAAGAAAGATCCACCACCAACAAAGAAAGGTGTGCGTGCAGGTCACAGTAATGTTTTTTTCTTTTGTTTTGTTTTTTTGTTGGTCGTGGGGCTTGAACTCTAGTCCTGGGCGCTGTCCCTGAGCTCTTCAGCTCAAGGCTAGCGCTCTACCACTTGAGCTACAGCACCACTTCTGATTTTCTGGTGGTTAACTGGAGATAAGAGTCTCATGGACTTTCCTGCCTGGGCTGGTTTTGAACCATGATCCTTAGATCTCAGCCTCCTGAGTAGCTAGGATTATAAAAGTGCCCAGCTCATATTAACTTTTAATGAGATGAATGTATGCATCGTATGCTTATGCACGCAGATCTACAAGTGAGTAAGCATAGGAATGGAAAGAGCTTTAACAGGAAGATATTTAAAGAATGCTAATGCTGAAGCCAGAGGCCACCAAAAGTAAAGTCTGGGAGCATCCAAATAAAATAGCAGAGCATATATACAGTAATGTAAAAGAATTAGGGTGAAAAAACCCAGGAAGACTGTAGGCAGTATTCCTCATATTTGTTGTACCTCCCAACATTTCTGAAAGGCAAAGCCTTGTCTTGGATCAATACCTAGCATAACTCAAACCGCATACTGCACAGTTGGAAGACAGCCTAGGCTACATAGTGAGACCTGTCTCAGAAACAAACTCAAAATCTAGAATATAAAGGAATTTGTCAAATTAAGTTGAAAAACTTACTGAATCAAGAAAGTGGCATTCAGTAGTGAGACTTCTATTATCGCAAAGTACTGAAAAAAAAATTAAAGAATATTCTCAGTCAAGAGTTGTTAAAAATGGACAATGTCTTGAAAGATAAGAAAAACCCTATATATTTAAAAATGCAATTAAATTTTTTATTCTTATAGAGTCTAAATGAATACCATTCAGTTTAACACTGAAGATACCTGAAAGATGCTGATGAAGAACAGGTCTGGCCAGAAGAAACCGCTGGTCATGGCTATAACATTTTACCTGGAGTCCCAGATAGACCAACACCACAGATATACGGAGAAAAACAGGTGAAACCTGCACACATTGTATCCTGACAGTAAGACCCACTTCCTCTTATAATTACAATACAGTAGGTGGAAACAGGCATTAGGAAGGGGAAAAAATAGGTCAATTATGTCTTGAAAAGTTGAGGGAATTTTACTGAGCTTAGTTCACTAACACTGAAGGCTCTCAAACAGGTCTAATATAAAATGCTCCTTATAGCCAGGATGGATCAGTGGTTTTTTTTTGTTTTTGCCAGTCCTGGGGCTTGAACTCAGGTCCTGGACGCTGTCCTTGAGCTTCTTTTGCTCAAGGCTAGCTAGCATGCTACCATTTGAGCTACCGTGCCATTTTGGCTTTTTCTGTGTATGTGGTACTGAGGACTCAAACGCAGGGCTTTATGCATGCTAGGCAAGCACTCAACCACTAAACCACATACCCATCCTGTTGCTGATTTTTTATTACATCTACTTTAAGGCTTGGGGTCAAGAATAGAACACCTTTTTTTTTCTCCTAGAGCTCAGGACCTTGTACTTAGCAGGCCAAGTGCGCTTCCACTAAGCTAAATCTCCAATCCAAGAGTAGAACTCTTAAAACTAGTTTTTATGAAACATTTACTGAGAATGTCCTGTTTCTGAACCTTCATCCTTAGAAACTGAGATTTATGATAATGAGATTCATGATAATATGTATCTTTATCCAAGCTCATTTTTAACAAAGCCTCATTGTATTTTAAACAATCATACCTGACTGAGAAGTTTCAGCTTCTTTCAGGATGGTATTTTGTAATGATACATTTTTTTCAGGGCTACTCATCAAAACATCCTGTGAGGCAACTGAAGAATTGAGTTCCATTTCTTCTACAACATCTGAAATTTCTTTGTTAGTACTAGTATCATTGGCTACTCCAGAGGGAAGAGGCAAACTCATTCTTTCACTGGGTACACAATACATTTCAAAATTTACCTCATTTGTATCCTGAAAGTAAAAATGGACATTATACTAATGACCAAAAATGAAAATAAACACAGACACACACACACAAATCTTCTATTAAGTGTGAAAAAACTAGAGTGTTACATGCCATAGGCCAAAGAACACTATAAATCCTACTCCTTGCTTCCTGACAATGAATTCAAGTAATACCTTATAAACAATAAGGATGAAGGCAAGTTTCTTAGCAAATATCTATACACCAGTTTGGGGATGGGCAAATACTTTCTGAGAAGAACCAGCTAGTGAATATTTCAGATTTAGTGAGCCACCAGGTCTGTCACAATTGTTCAAATCCACTCCAGCATTGCAAAAGCATCTACATAAAATAAACAGCTGAGAGTGACGGTTACAACAAAACTTGGCTTATAAAAACCAGTGGTCAAAGCTTGCTGATTTTGACCTAGGTAATTAGTTCCACATTCATGTTGGTGTAATATGGAACTACAAAAAGACCTACTGAAAACAATCCATAGGCCACTGAAACAAGAATTATTTTGTATTACTGATTTAATTTCCAATGGAGATTCTAGGGTGCGTGCGTGCGTGCGTGCGTGCGTGCGTGTGTGTGTGTGTTTGCCAGTCCTGGAGCTTGAACTCAGGGCCAGGACACTGTCCTTCAGCCTCTCTGTGTTCAAGGCTCTACCACTTGAGCCATAGTACCACTTCTGGCTTTTTTTTTTTCCTTCTGAGGAATTGAACTCAGACCTTCAGGCATGCTAGGCAAGCACTCTACCCCTAAGCCACATTCCTAGTGACTGTTTTTGTTTTGTTTTAATAAGAGTTATTACTTATAGTGATATACATAGCAACATACTGAGTGATTTACCACCTGGCCATGGTTTACTTCAATTACATCCTCTGATTCAGAACACTGAGCATCTTCTATGGTGTCTCTGAAAATTAAAAAAAGAAAAAAGAAAAAGAAAAAAGAAGCACATTATAGTGTGATAATTAATATATTGTTCTTTTGACTTGTGTTCTTTATAGAGGGAGTAAGTTAAGTTTAGAGAGCTAACCTAATCTAGACAGAAAGGGGCAAATGGCATATACCACTATATACCTTGCTCCACCTGGAATCTTTTTTTTTTTTTGTCAGTCCTGGGGCTTGAATTCAGGGCCTGGGCATTGTCCTTGAGTTTTTGCTCAAGGATACCACTCTACCACTTGAGCCACAGCGCCACTTCTGGCCTTTCTGTTTATGTGGTACTAAGGAATTGAACCCAGGGCTTCATGCATGCTAGGCAAGCACTCTACCGCTAAGCCACATTCCCAGCCCTCCACCTGGAATCTTAAGCCTCAGTTTCCTTATTAAGAGGAAGTCTTGCCTATATGCTAAATTGTGAAATTTAATTAAAAATGAAAACTCTGGTACATTTCCCTATCTTAACAGTTTGAAATGATATTTAAATTCTTAACATGTTAAAGAAATACCTGCTTTCAGGAATGTTTGAAAACAATGTCTTCTTGCCAGCATGTTCACTCTGGGGATTGGGATTCTCTGGTGATGGCTTTTGACCTAGAAGGTCCATTTCAGTCCTGTTCTCAGGTACAACTTTGCTGACAGACTTAGGTGTGCCAAGTCTTTGAGAGCATTCAGAGGACAGTACTAGAAAATGAGAGAAATCACATCAATAGCAAAAATTATCTCATTTTTATTTTTAAGTTTTAGAAAGGTTATCTTGGTATAACATGGTTAAAATAGAAAGAAATGGAGGAGAAAAAAAACATTTCCTGCTTCCTACAAAGAAATAGGAGTGAAAGACCCCTTACTCACTTTACCAACAAAGACAAGAAGAAATACTAAATCCTAACTAATCTCTCTAGGAACTTCCTTTTAAAGATAATGTTAAACACACACATTAAACTATGCTTCTTTTTGATACCCACTCCTGTAACTTAAAAAGAACAATCTTAAAAGGTAGAACTCTAGAAAGACAAAGGAAGTTAAAGAGTTATCAGTAACAGCTTGGGAGCTATACTTGTATATTAGCAGGTGAGGTGTTACACTAAGCAAATACTAAGCCAGTAATCAGAAAAGCAAGCCAACCCAATTTCTACCATAGAATCTTTCAAAAGAATTAGTAGCCCTGAGTATCTCTAAAAGTGGAGGTAAAAAATAGAGCTAAAAACAGAAGTAGTTAAAAGTCAGCTTAAAAAATAAGTAGAGGGCTGGGAAGGTGGCTCAGTGGTAGAGCGCTTGCCTTGCATGCCTGAGGCCCTGGGTTCGATTCCTCAGCACCACATAAGCAAAAAGAAAAAAGCCGGAAATGGTGCTGTGGCTCAAGTGGTAGAGCGCTAGCCTTGAGCTGAAGAGCTGAGGGACAGCACCCAGGCCCAGAGTGCAGGCTCCATGACAGACCAAAAAAAAAAAAAAAAAAAAGGCTGATTGAAGGCCAGGTAGGTGTCAGAGCAGGAAGCAAGACACCTATGATCTCAAAAAATAGCCAGCACAGTTAGGCGCTGATGGTTTAAGCGTGTAGTCCTAGTTTACTCAGCAGGCTGAGATCTGAGGATTGGGACTGAAAGCCACACAGGCAGACAAAGCCTTAAGACTCTTATCTGCAGTTAGCCATCAAGAAAGCCAGAACTAGAGGCATGGTTCAAGTGGTAGAGTGCCAGTCATGATCGAATAAGCAGAGCAAGAGCCCAAGCCCTGAGTTCAAGCCTCAGTGCTGGTCAAGTTGGCCAGGATTACTCAAACTAAAACACATTTTAGTAAGTAATTTCTAAATGAAAACATAACTCTGAGGGGGTACACATCCATCTCAGTCATAGATCCTTCCCTATATAGTTGGAAGAGAAGATAGAAATGTGAGGAAAGAACAGAGCAGCAGTACAAGACTATGAAGAAGACAGCACAAGGTTTTGGGACAGTTTGGAAGAGATCTTTATGTTTAGAAAGTGGCATTGAGCTGGCTGGGCATGGACCAGAACATTAGTCAGTGGCAGACAGAAAGGGTCATGAAGACTATGGAGAGAAACTGGTAGATATAAGAGACTGCAGAGGAAGAAGCCCCAAGATGTAGAGACCAAGTTTTAGGAATCAGGGATGTCTCTGGCTTCTCAAGCCTGGATAGAGTATCAGCAGAGCTTTAGCCCAATCTGGGAACTCAAGAAAAGGATGTAATGGGAGGTGTGTGTGTGGGGGGTGGGGGGCAGTGTAGTTGGATGGCAGGAAAGGCCTTTCCAGGTAATTTCTGCTGGACTGGAGGAAGGGGTAGTAACTCCAGGTAGGAGAAAGTACATGATAGAAGTGAAAGAGTTAGATGACAGTTGAACACAGGGACAAACATAAAGGGAACCGGAAGAGTTTTGGGAATACTCAAAGCAAGTTGAATCTGCCCTCAGGGAGCAGAATTACCATAGTGCAGGATGTCATGTGACAAGGGGACTGATCACAAGGTCTAGCTTATTCCTTTCCTAAAAACAGTCCATGCCAATGAGGTATTTGGATTGAAATGGCCCAAAAGATATTTTTCTCCTTGATTTTAGGTAGAATAGATCATATGTACAAGGGCCCCTAACTAGACCTATCTGTTCATAGACATTAATAGGGATTATACTCGGACATTCTTTTTTCTTTCTTCTAAACATGACTCTAGTGACATGTATGTACTTGTTCTTTCAAGACTGTTCCTTATGATCTGCCCTTGCCTGGAGGAGTCACGCCTCGCATGCTTGTAACTATTCTGGGCACAGTGAAGCCCGACGCAAACAGGTAAAGAGGGTGATGTAAACAGCCTAGCCAGTCTGTTAATTGGTTTTGAATTAAAAGTGATCTATTTAAAATGTTAATAGGATTTAAAGAAAAAAGAAACTTGACAGTAGTACATATGGTTATATGTAATATACCTGCTAACATATATATATATTCTTTATATCTATATCTATGTATATCTTCAGCCTATATCTCTATCCATCCATAGTTGCTTACTTCATTTAGGTATATTGTATTGGATAATTTAGTTTCACTAATACTGAAGATACAGACTGAGGCCTGGTGGATCAAAACTAATTCTGGTTGAAGGGTTAATGAAGGGGCTGGGAAGGTGGCTCAGTAGTAGAGTGCTTGCCTTGCATGCATGAGGCCCTGGGTTCCATTCCTTAGCACCACATAAGCAAAAAGAAAAAAGCTGGAAGTGGTGCTGTGGCTCAAGTGGTAGAGCGCTAGCCTTGAGCTGAAGAGCTGAGGGACAGCCCCAGGCCCAGAGTTCAGGCCCCATGACTGGACCCCCCCCCCCAAAAAAAAAGTAGAGAAGATAGTAAGATAATAGGTTGAAAGCCACCATTTTATTCTGTGAATGAGGAAAAAAAAAATCAGTGACAAGAAAGTGACCAGATTCTGAAGAAGAAGAGAAGCCGGGCGCCAGTGGCTTACGCCTGTAATCCTAGCCACTCTGGAGGCTGAGATCTGAGGATTATGGCTCAAAGCCAGCCTGGGCAAGAAAGTACATGAGACTCTTATCTCCAACAAACCACAGAAAACTGGAAGTGGCACTGTGGCCAGGTGGTAAAGCAGCTGCCTTGAGCTGAAGAGCTCAGGGATGGCGCCCAGGCCCAGAGTTCAAGCCCCACGACCAACCAAAAAGAAAAAAAGGATGACGAGAGAAACTATAGAGGTTCAAGACCCAAAAACTGACAAAGAAGAAAAAAAGTCCTGAGCTAGTGCCCAGATTTCCTGGCTCAGAGAAGGGAATCCAGAGACAGCAATACCAGGCAAAATTAGACGACCCCTATCAAGGGATCACCAAATTCATCTTTGGGAGAAGGAAAAACAATCCAGAAGCCTTACTACCAGCTTGGGGACTTGGGAGGTGAGGAGTAATAATGTCATGAGAGGCTGTAGTATGAGAAACTAAGACATTCTCTGTGTCCCTGTACCCTGAGAATGACAGAGCACCATCTTGGAAAAGTGTCTCTGTGAGCCCAGGGCCAAGAAGTAATCATACCTTTACAATCCACAGGACACTCTGCAATGGAACTTGGGCATAAATCAGTTATGAGACTTGTCAAGGGAGGTCAGAGTGGGTGGCAGAGGACAGAAAAAAATATTAATCTGCAGGAGGCCACAGTACAGCCAGGAAGCCAGATACAAAACTCAGTATTAAAATACCAATAGTTTAAAGAAACCAGGAAAACAATTCTATTCATAACAACCCCTGAAACAATGAAACATCAAACAAGGTATTAACCAAGGACATAAATGATCTCTACAATGAAAACTATAAAATCTTGAAGAAAGAAACTGAAAACATGGAAAGACCTCCTATGCTCATGGATTGCAAGAATTAGTGTTGAGAAAAATGACCATATTACCAAAAATAATATATAGATTCAACAGAATACCCACTACCTCAGTATCATTTCTCAGTTAAAGAAATCAATAAAAAAAAAATCGCATGGAGGCATAAAAGATCCCAAATAGCAAATGTAACTCTAAGTAGTAAGAGTATCACTGGAGGTATCACAATACCAAACTTCAAATATACTACACAGCTAGGCACCAATGGCTCATGCTTGTAATCCCAGCTACTCAGGATGCTGAGATCTGAAAAACACACACTAGAGTGAAGACACCCCCTTCAATAAATGGTGCTGGAAAACTACCTTTAGAAGACTGAAACTGGACCTCTATCTCTTAACATACACAAAATTCAACTCTACTCACTAGACACTGATGGAAGTAAACTATACAACTCATGGGTGGAGATGAAAGGGACAGTGAGGGAACAGAAGATACTGTATGAAAGGAATGTACTCATTACCCGACTCATGTAATTGTAATCCCTCTGTACATAACCTCTACAATAACAATACAGTAAATTAATTTAAAAAAAAATCAACTCTAAGCCGGGCACCAGTGGCTTACACCTGTAACCCTAGCTACTCAGGAGGCTGAGATCTGAGGATTGTGGTTTGAAGCCAACGTGGGCAGAAAAGTCCCTGTGAGACTTTATCTCCAGTTAACCACTCAAAAACAGGAAGTGGCACAGTGGCTCAAGTGGTAGAGCACTAACCTTTGGCAAAAAGAGATCAGGGGCAGCGCCCAGGCTCTGAGTTCAAGTACCACAACACCCTCCCCCCAACACAAACAATCTAGTTAGATTAAAGAGCTCAACGTAAGACTTGAAACTTTATTTATTTTTTGTGTTTATATGGTACTAAGGAATTGATCCCAGGGCCTCATGCATGTTAGGCAAGCACTCTACCACTAAGCCACATTCCTTGCCCTCAAGACCTAAAACTTTAAATCTGCTATAGGAAAACGTAGGAAAGCTCTGGAAGGTATAGGTAAATTAGGGCTCCAGATTCCTAGAGAATGGGAGCAAGAATTGACAAATGTGACTATATCAAATTAAGTTTCTGCACAGCAAAACAGTCACCAGAACCAAGGGCCTACTCATGGACTAGGAGAAAATCTTTACCAGGTATTCAAAAGATATAGAAAACTAAAAAATTTAAACAATAGAAAAACAATCCAAATTAAACACACAGTTCTCATAAGAACAAATACTAATGGCTGATAGATACATGAGAAAATGTTCAACATCTTTGGTTAAAAAGGAAATGCAGGGACTGGGAAGTTGGCTCAGTGGTAGAGCGCTTGCCTTGCATGCATAAGGCCCTGGGTTCGATTCCTAAGCACCACATAAGCAGAAAAAAGCCAGAAGTGGTGCCGTGGCTCCAGTGGTAGGGCACTAGCCTTGAGCTGAAGAGCTGAGGGACAGCACCCAGGCCAGAGTTCAGCCCTCACAACTGGCAAAAAAAAAAGGAAGTGCAATCAAAACCACACTAAGATTCCACCTCAGCCCAATCAGACCATCAGCCATAAAGAAAACAAACAACAAATGCTGCTGAGAATGTGGGGTGAAAGGAACCCTCATATTCTATAAGGCACTGGTGGTTCATGCCTGTAATCCTAGCCTCTGAGGAGAGTGAGATCTGAGGATCATGGTTCGAAACTATCCAGGGCTGTGAGACTCTTATCTCCAATGACAGCCAGAAAACTGGAAGTAGCGCTGTGGCTCAAAATGGCAGAGGCTAGCATTTAGAGAAAAAGCTCAGTGACAGCACCTAGGCACTGAGTTTAATCCCCATAACCAACAACAACAAAAAAAGAAGTTCCCTCCCAATGATTCTGCCATACCACTACTGAGCATATACTCCAAGTATAGTAAATCAATATACCAGAAAGACATATCTGTAAATCTATGTTTATTGCAGCACTATTCAGAATAGCCAAACAATGGAATTATTTGCCAAATGAGTTAAATGGATAAAGAAAATGTGATATATATGTATACATACTATGAAGTATTACACAGCCATAAAAAAAATAGCAAGATCTTGTTTCAAAAAAAAAAACCAGAAGTGGCACTGTGGCTCAAGTGGTAGAGCAATCACCTTGAGCTGAAGAGCTGAGGGACAGCTCCCAGGCCTAGTTCAAGCCCCATAAGCAACCAAAAAAAATACAAAAAGAATGAGATATTAAGTTGGGCTGGGAAGGTGGCTCAGTGGTAGAGTGCTTGCCTTGCATACATGAGGCCCTGGATTCAATTCCTCAGTACCACATAAGCAGAAAAAGCTGAAAATGGCGCTGTGGCTCAAGTGGTAGAGTGCTTACCTTGAGTTGAAGAGCTCAGGGACAAAGCCCAGGCCCCATGACGACAAAAAAAAAAAAAACAAACCCAAAACTCAAAACAACAACACTTGTCTTATTTTCATCACTATCTTCACCTCTTAGAAGTCTGTGACCTAACTTCAGAGACTGTGGGATTACAAGGTACTAACAGTTGTGAAATTACTTGGAAAACACAAAAGCAATCATAGAAGATAGTAATAGCAACCTGATCATATCTATTCAAAATATGATGTGCATATGGGTGGGGGTTAGCACATGGCCCATTTTCTAGAAGTCAGAATGCTTTATCTGTCTATATGAAATCTATACTTCTTACCTTGGTTATTTTTTAGGTAGGGTCTTGCTTTATGCTGGGGCACATGGGCCAAAATTCTACACGTACTTCCCCATGTCACTAGGAATGATAAGTCTATGCCATGACACTCAGTTGGGATAATATGCACATGCTATGGAGCTAGCTATTGGTTAAGATCCAGTTTTATTAACTTTATGACTGGATTGGCCTCCAACTGCGATATCTCAATCTCCATCTCCCCATGTCTTAAGGTTTTTATTTATTTATTTATTTATTTTTGCCGGTCATGGGGCCTGAACTCTGGGCCTGGGCGCTGTCCCTCAGCTCTTCAGCTCAAGGCTAGTGCTCTACCACTGGAGCCACAGTGCCACTTCCGGCTTTTTCTGCTTATGTGGTGCTGAGGAATCGAACCCAGGGCCTCATGCTTGCAAGACATGCACTCTACCGCTGAGCTACCTTCCCAGCCCCTGTCTTAAGGTTTTTAACTCAGGGCTTTGTGTTTGACTGGCAAATGCTCTATTGCTTGATCATACCTCCAGCCCTTCTAGCTCTGATACTTTTTTGAGATAGGGTTTTGCTTTTTGCCTGGGCTGGCCTGGACCACAATCCTGTTTATACTTCCTGTAGCAGCTGGGATTACAGGTGCATGCCTAGACTATGAATGCTTCCATACATCTAGTGCTTTTTCTTTTTTTGCCAGTCCTGAGGCTTGAACTCAGAGCCTGGGCACTGTTTCTGAGTATCTTTTGCTCAAGGTTAGCACTCTACCACTTGAACCACAGTGCCACTTCTCGCCTTTTCTGTTTATGTGGAACTGAGGAATAGAATCCAGGGCTTCATGCATACTAGGCAAGCACTCTACCATTAAGCCAAATTCCCAGCCCACATCTAACTCTTTCTGTTGATATGGGGTCTTTGCCTGGTCAGGCCTGGAATCTTGATCCTCCTGATATCCTATGTAGCTAGGAAAACAGTCATAGATTGCTGGTTGAGAAAGGGCCTTGAGAAATTTTGCACAGGTTGATTTGGAACTGTAGTCTCCTTATGCCTTCTAAGTAGTTATGAGTGTGTGAGCACCCACACTTGGCTGTTTTTTATACAAGCCCTCAAGTACCCCAAGTATTTCTCTTAAGCAGTCTGAGAAAACAAAAATAAAAATAACCAACCTGAGAATGATTTCACAGGACTCTCAACTCTAAAAAATCCAGCATCAAACACGATTTTATCCACTTCCTTTGGTGTTACAGAAGCCACTGTGTCAGCATGTTCTCCCTGCTTAATTCTCTCTCGCATGGCATTTTTTATGGCAGCAAGGCGATTTCTAGCCGCAGCCCTTCCACCATCATCCTGTTTTGGTTTGCTTGCTATCCCTGAGACAATTTTCTTCTGCAAAGAGAAATTAGGATATCAAGCTGCTATTACTTAAGATACACACACACACACACACACACACGGGCGCGCGCGCACACACACGCGCGCACACGCACGTACAATATTTAGCTATTATTTATTTATTTTTGAAACAGAAGCTGGTTTTGCAATCCACATTGGCCTCAAATTCAAGATCCTCCTCTGGAGTGCTGAGATTTCTGGGGGGGAGGGGGTGTCACTATACTTGGCAAAAGTTCAACTGTTTTTTTTGTTTTGCTAGTACTGGGACTTGAACTCAGGGCCTGGTCACTGTCCCTGTGCTCTTCAGCTCAAGGTTAGTGATCTACTACTTAAGCCACAGCTTCACTTTTGTTTTTTGTTTTTTTTTTTTTTGGAGTTAATTGGAGATAAGAGTTTCTCAGAATTCTCCTGCACAAGCTGGCTTCAAAGTGGGATCATTAGAGCTCAGACTCCTGAGTAGTTAAAATTACAGGCATGAGTCACTGGAGCCCAGCTAAACTAATTAAACTTTTAAAAGAGAAAGCCAAGCTGGACATCAATGGCTCACACCTGTAATCCTAGCTACTCAAGAAGCTGAGATCTGAGGATCTTGGTTCAAAGCCAGCAGGAATATCTATAAAACTCCTAACTCCACTATACCAAAATAGCTGGAAGTGGAGCTGTAGCTCAAAGTGATAAAGAACTAGCCTCTAGTGAAAAAGCTCAGGGATGGGGCTGGGAAGCTGGCTCAGTGGTAAAGTGCTTGCCTTGCATGCCTGAGGCCCTGGGTTCGATTCCTCAGCACCACATAAGCAAAAAGAAAAAAGCTGGAAGTGGCACTGTGGTTCAAGTGGTAGAGCGCTAGCCTTGAGCTGAAGAACTGAGGGACAGCGCCCAGGCCCCACGACAGGACCCCCCCCAAAAAAAAAGAAAAAGCTCAAGGACACTGCCCAGGCCCCAAGTTCAAACCACAGGAGACAGACAGACAGACACAGACAGAAAACCAAATTATACATAAAATATATCACATTATATACACACCAAATTCTTAGTATGTTCTAAAAATTCTAGGGGTGAATATATCAAGGACTAAGTTTCTTCCTTCAAGGAGTTTATAGTTTAGTGGAATAGCTAACTAAGGGCAAAAAGGAGGATAAATGTGGCCAGGCATGCTGGCTTACAACTATGATCTCGGTTATTCAGGAGGCAAAAATCATGGTTCAAGGCCGCCCTTGTAAAAAGTTAGCAAGTCCTCAACCCAATCAATAAGCTAGGCAAAGTAACATGTAAATCTGGTCCCAGCTACAGGAGAATTGTGGTGCAAGGTTATCCTGGGCAAAATTGCAAGAACTTATTGAAATACAACTTTTAGCAAAAAAGCTGGGGACCTGGCTCAAGTAGTTGAGTGCATACCTAGAGTTTTAAACCCCAGTTTAGCCAAAAATAAAACGTACTGATTACCTGATGAATGTCCTCTGTATAGCACCTCTATAATAATAAATAAAAAAGAAGAATACCTAAACCAACCTTCAGATACAAGGGAAGACTTACAAGTAAGCAGCATCTTGTTGTAAATCAAGTAGCTGGACTAAAAGACTGGGGTAACAAAGGCTGGATAGAACAGCATGTTTGCTGAACCAGCAATGAAAGCTGGTAGAACGGACATGACATGAACAACTTAAACCTCTAACATCTGATTGTTTTAGACATGAACAACTTAAACCTCTAACATCTGATTGTTTTAGACTACATTTATACACCAAACAGTTACTGGTTTTTAAGCAGGAGAATAACACGATCAAGCTTGGGTTTTAGGAAGATGGTTCTGGATATAACCTGGAGAATGAACTGGGTGGGAGACTTACTGAATGATAATAGAAAAGAAGATGGCAGTTAGGCCGAGGAGGAGGAGATGGAACAAAGAGAGGAGATTCACAAAGTTTTTTTTGTTTGTTTCCAGGGCTGAGGACTGAACCCAGGGCCTTGCGCGTGCTGGGCGGGCGCCCTTCCGCTGGGCTAAAGCCCCAGCCCCGCATTTTTTTTGGTCAGTTGTGGGGCTTGAACTCTGGGCCTAGGGGCTGTCCCTGCTCTCTTCAGCTCAAGGCGAGCGCTGTACCACTTGAGCCACAGTGCCACTTCTGGTTTTCTAGTGGTTTATTGGAGATAAGAGTCTCACAGACTTTCCTGCCCAGGCTGGCTTTGAGATGCGATCCTCAGATCTCAGCCTCCTGAGTAGTGAGGATTACAGGTGTGAGCCACTGGCGCCTGACCTAGATTCACAAGCTTTAAGAAGTATAACTGAGGTAGGCACCAGTGGCTCACACCTGTAATCCTAGTAACTTAGGAGGCTGAGAACTGAAGATCATGGTTCAAAGCCAGCCTGGGCAGTAAAGTCTATGAGACTCTTATCTCCAATAAACCACCAGAAAACCGGAAGTAGCACTGTGGCTCAAGTGGTGGGGCACCAGCCTTGAGCTGAAGAGCTTAGGGGCAGTGCCCAGGCCCAGATTTCAAGCCCCATGACCAACCAAAACAAGAGCTGAGAGTCAGATGCCAGTGTATCATACATCTGCTTCTGCAAGAGGCAATACCAATGGGGCTTTAGATGTTCAGGTCTGCTTGGAAATAAAAAAAATGAAGCAACTTGCCAGGCAGTGGTGACTCATGCCTATAATACTAGCTACTCAGGAGATCTAAGAATTGAGGTTTAAAGCGAGGCTGAGTAGAAAAGTTTGTGAAACTCTTTTTCTTCAATTAAACATCAAAAAGCCAAAAGTGGAGCTATGGCTTAAATAAGGTTGCTAGCCTTAAGCAAAGAATACAGGGATAGCGCCCCGGCCCTAACCCTGAGTTCATGTCCCATGACAAATGGAAAAATAAAAAAAAGAAGAACTGAGAGGATTTTTTGTTGTTATTGTTGTTTTTTAATTGGTTGTGGGGCCTGAACTCTGGGCCTGGGCATTGTCCCTCAGCTCTTCAACTCAAGTCTAGTGCTCTACCACTTGAGCCATAGCGCCACTTATGGCTTTTTCTGCTTATGTGGTGCTAAGGAATCAAACCCAGGGCCTCATGCATGCAAGGTAAGAACTCTACCACAGAGCCTCACCTGAGCCCTGAGAGGATTTTCTGATCCAGCCAACCCCATGGAATGGAGTAGGTAAACTAGCAAAAGGAAAGGGTCAGAAGAGATACCCAAAGTTCCTGAGCCTCTGGATGGGAGTCTTTATAGAATGGGAGTCTTTACAGAGATAAGGACACACTAATATGTGTGGAAATTATTTTTTGGATAAAGTGACTTTTAAAGTATACTGTGTCATGAGGCATAACTGAAAAGTGTGGCTGGCAATGTAGATCAGAGATTCATCAGTGAGGGGTATACAATTGCACAGGAAGGGGCTGGGAAGGTGGCTCAGTGGTAGAGCGCTTGCCTTGCATGCTCGAGGCCCTGGGTTCGATTCCTCAGCACCACATAAGCAGAAAGAAAAAAGCCGGAAGTGGCACTGTTGCTCAAGTGGTAGAGCGCTAGCCTTGAGCTGAAGAGCTGAGGGACAGTGCCCAGGCCCAGAGTTCAAGCCCCACGACTGGACCGGAAAAAAAAAAAACAACAACACAATTGCACAGGAAGGGGTGGGAATGTTGTTTAGAGATAGAGTGCTTGCCTAGCTATATCCAAGTACATAATTTGAGAAATATAAATAAACAGAATTAAAACCTATACATGGAATCAAGAGGACAATCTATATTAAACCACTGCTATGATCTGGAAAAAGAGCCAACCTTTATTACAGAATAAATAACACTATATAGAAATCATGACAAAGTAAATACATGAAAACCAAGATGAGAAAATTCACTCAACTAACAAATAAACATTCTTTGGCTGAGGGATGTGGCTTAAGTGGCAAACTGTTTGCCTAGGATGCCCTGGATTCAATTCCCGGGACCACCACCACTCCTGCCAATAAAAATCACCCAAACTATTTTAGGTTGCAGTGGTAAAGAAGCTGCCTAGCATGTATGAGACCCTGGGTTCCATCCCTAGGAGGGAGAGAGGGAGAGAAGGGGAGAGAGGGGGAAAGAGGGGGAAAGAGGGAGAGAGGAGAGAGGGGGAGGGGGGAGAGAAAGAGAGAGGGGGGTAATAAGGGGGGAACAGACTTCACAGAAAGAATATGTTGAGAGAACAGAATTGAGGAATATCGAAACGGTAATTAATGGAAAAACAAACTTGCAAACATGACTTTAGACTAAGCTGAGAAGAAAATACTATAGTAGATGGAGAGAGACCTCTAGTGATAACAGGCAGAATTACAAGATTGATATATAACTAGTGTATTACTATTTCCAGGTCTAAGTGCTCAATAATAAATATCTATAAGCTGGGTGCTGGTGGCTCACATCTGTTATCCTAGCTCTCAGGAGGCTGAGATCTGAGGATAGTGGTTCAAAGCCAGACCGGGCAGGAAAGTCTGTGAGACTCTTATCTCCAATAAACTACCAGAAAATCGGAAGTGGTGCTGTGGCTCAAGTGGTAGAGTGCTAGCCTTGAACTGAAGAGCTGAGGGATGGCGCCCAGGCCCAGAATTCAATCCCCACAATCGGAAAAAGAAAGAGAGGAAGAGAGAGAAAAAGAGAGAAAGAGAGTTAGAAAGAGAAAGAAAAAAGAAAAAAAGAAAAAAAGAAAGAAAGATCCACAGTAGTGGGTTGGCACAGTAGTTACATGCCTGTAATCTCACAACTCTGGAAACTAAAGTGAGAGGATGGATTACAAATTTGAGATTAGCTTGGGCAACAAGGGAGAATCCTATCTAAAAAAAAAAAATCTCTCTGCAAAGAAATATCCAGAGTAGCTTTAATAAGTAGCATCTATTCATTATCTAGATTTATAATTCCTTCAATCATTTATTAACTGCTCTTAGGATCCTTATGAGACCTCATTAGTAAAATAATTTTTAAAGGTTTTTCTGAAACGTTAACACCTTAAACTCCTAAAATATGAGTCAGACAAGTTTTTATCAACCTAGACCACAGGAGCTTATAACTACAGGTACACTTTCATTATTTTTTTGTTGTTGTTGTTAGTCATGGGGTTTGAACTGGGCCTGGATGCTGTCCCTGGGCCTGGACGCTGTCCCTGGGCCTGGACGCTGTCCTTGCGCTCTTCAGCTCAAGGCTAGTGCCCTACCACTTGAGCCACAGCGCCACTTCTGGTTTTCTGGTGATTTATTTGAGATAAGAGTCTTACAGACTTTCCTACTCAGGCTGGCTTTGAACCACGATCTTCAGATCTCAGCCTCCTGAGTAGCTAGGATTATAGGCATGAGCCACTGGTGCCCTTCGAGTAGGGTTGGGAATGTGGCTTAGTGGTAGAGTGCTTGCCTAGCATGCAAGAAAAAGCCGTAAGTTCTATTTCTCAGTACCACATAATCAGAAAAAGCCAGAAGTGGCGCTGTGGCTAACGTGGTAGGTAGAGTGCTAACTTTGAGCAAGAGCAGCTCAGGGACAGTGCCCAGGCCCTGAGTTCAAGCACCAGAACTGGCAAAAAAACAAAAACAAAAACAGTGGGATTTTATTAGATTAAAGCAGCAAAATTTACAGGAACAAGTAACAGAAAATTTTATAAGATTAAGTACAGGGAAGGAA